AGGGGAGGGAGATTGGGCTGAGGCGGCCGCTGGGCCCGCCGCGCTGAGCCCCGGGGGTCCGGAGGGGAGCGGGGCCTCTCGGGTTGGGCCTCGCCCCGCTGGTCCCGCTTAATTCCTCCCTTTTTACAAAGTGTGTTGCGTTAAACCTCGCGATTTGAAGTTCTTGGGCGCTGTTTTCCAGCAGTTGCGGTGCAAACCCACCCGAGTTTTTTCCCTTTTTTTTTTTTTTTGGTTTTTTTGTTTTTGGTCCCCCCCCCCCCGTAAATCTGCTCACTGTAATTCCCACGTATCGTTTCCAAAGGTTAACCTACTTGGCAGGGTAGTCCTATCAAGTATTTAAGTGCATGCTCGTTTTCGGTTGTTCAGGATTATCCTACTTAAGGGAAAATGGGGAGTGTGTTGGTTAATGTTTCTTGAGGGTAGATTGAAGTGAAAAAGTTGACTGGAAAAAGAAAAAAAAAGAGAGGCACTAAATCAAAAGTATCACGAATCAAGGTTTCTCAAGAGCTTTGCACTCTGGTGTGGTATTAAATATAGGTAAATTCTAAAGATGGTAATAAATGAATGAGAAATGATGATCTCGCAGACTCAAATGTGCTAAGTGAGATACATTTCAGCCTTTATCTCTGTCTGTATCAGCACGACTTGTTGTGTCTAACTGGTTTGTATATGGGACATTTCCAGCCAGGTTTGGAGATGGATTATATGACTCCTACATGAGGATAGATCAGATTAGGTACCAGGAGTCTGCAAACGAAGAACACAGCCCCTCAGGACTTCCTTCCCTCGGCAGATCTAATGTGAGTATTTCAATGTTGTGTGGCCCTTCACGTTGTGTTGTGTGGCAGGGAGAGCTGTCAAGGAGTTTGATATCTCGATATAAGGCAAAAAAGTGGGATGTTGCAGCTTTGTAGTAGCTTATTAACATCTTTTGAGCATAAACAGGGTGTGATATGGTGCTCAGTGCAGAACTTGGTCGGCAGCCTCAGAAATCTTATCTTACTGTCCTCAGCTCCTGTTTTAATCAAGAAAGTTACTTGACAAATGGCTGGGGTGTTCTGCTGTGTCACCTTGTCTCTTGATAAGCATGTAAATCTACACGTGCTTTGCTTTAGCTCTTCCACGTTTCCATTTTAGTTCCCCTCATGAAAATTCTGTGAGATAAGTACTTAGGAACAGCAGAAGGAGCCAAGTTTGCTTGGCTGCCACATGTCTTACCAAAGTATCTTTTTCCTCTGAAAATTTTGGTGTTATCTGACAAAATAGCTCGTTATGGGCTGAAGGTGTTAACGTGCTTCTTTGTAAGTGCTGTCTGTCCTCAGCAGGTGGGGAGTTATGAGATCTTAAATGGATTCACCTGAGCAGTGCTGGTTGGATTTAACTGTGCTGTGATCTGACCTCTCTATGGTTTTTAAGTGTGTTTTGTCTCTTGTTGAAACTGAGGAGCCTGAGCTTGAAAAAAAAAAAGCACATCACAACAAACTCTCTCTAAGAAGTGAAAATACTTATTTTGCTGAATAAGCTGCATTTGAAAATCATCACCTTGTGGGAATTTCTTGTAACAGATTTTAGTAATTAATTTGGTCTGTGCCATTCACTCATCAGCAGGGGTTTGTGTTTTCCCTTCTTGGCAGCTTTGAGGAAGAGCAGAAGAAGTTAAAGAGATTTGTTTAGCAGTAGAGTTTGAAGAGTAGTGGGATGTTTCCAGGGAAGTGGGAACTTCTAAAATGCATTGATTAAGTTACGGTGTAATGTAGTGGGATGTTTCCAGGGAAGTGGGAACTTTTAAAATGCATTAAGTTACGGTGTAACCTCAGTTGTTTGTAACTGAACAGGAACCTGCAGAATGAAACTATGAATAGTTTGTTTCACTGGTGTATCTTATTCTTTGTGTTTTATCCATTAAGCCTGGTAACTTCTTAAGGTTAAGGATTGAAAAATTGGTGTATCTTATTCTTTGTGTTTTATCCATCAAGCCTGGTAACTTCTTAAGTTTAAGAATGAAAAATGCCTAGTTTTGCTGTGAATGACATAACAAAATACAGCCTTAGTGGTGTCTTGCAAGCAGGGCTGAAATGAAGTATGCCAGGATGAAAACCATGATGTTCAACTTTAGTGGGAAAGTACCTGGAATGAAGTGATATTTGGTTTCCTTGTAAGATTTTTGTATTACGATTAAATGTTACATGAGAATTACAGAGTTCTGCAGCTGTCCATTCTTTTCATGCTGGCTATAAGAGAACATAAATATCTCTGCCTTGAGAATTCATGGGTTTCATTCAGTATTCAGAAAATAGCTGGTGCATTTCTGCAGAATCAGTTGTGTGGGAACTGGGCTAACAGCTTCTCGATTAGAATGGAGTTGTGTAAGCATGTGCCAGTTGTCATTCTAATTTCTTGGCTGCTACTAGAACTTTATCAATCAAACAAAACCTGTGCAGCCTGTGATTAGTAAAAGAGAGCTGGTGTTACCCAGAAGTCAGCTGACTTGGACTGTAGCTCATCTGAGCTCAGGTGAAGATTGATCTAAATTTGTACCTTATCATCACGTGGCAAATGATTCTGGTAGTCCTCCAAGAATGAAAATTTAGTTCTTACTACTGGCTGGCTCTTGAGTTGGGCTTCCGATGCAAAGCTATAGTTTCTTCTTGAAGAAATAGTTGCAGGATACGTGGAATCATTAGTTCATTGTTTGTTTAGAGATTCAAAGGTACAAAATGTTTGCTAAAACAGCAGCATTAGCAGAGTTGTGCTTGCTCCTGAATAGGGAATACTTAGATGTAGAGCTGTTTGCAAAGCTTTAACAGTTCCAACTGATGACATTCAGACTGCTAACACCATTTTTTGGAAGTCAGATAGTTGAAAGAAACATGTGTGCCCCAGCAGGGTGTTCTGAAGCTGTGGTGTGTGATTCTGTGTCATTCCTGCCCTTGGCTGGGGACAGTGTGTGGCCAGGACCTGCCTCAGGGCCCTTGTCTGCAGAGGTGGTGCAGTTGAGGCTGCTCTGAATCACAGCGACCAAAAGCTGCTCCTGTTGTGCACACAGTTGAAACCCATGTAGGGAGAATTACCAAGTTTTGATTGCAAAGGTGGAGATAGGACAGGCTTGGGTTGTTTTGATTTTCCCCCTGGCTTCTGCCCCCCCCGAAAACTTCAGAAAACAAACAAGTGTGAACCTTGTTCTGTGCTTAGGTTCTCTGTTTATTTGTGAACGTACCGCTTGCTGGACTGAACAGTCTTGTAGCTAGTTCTGAAAACATGTCCTTATCTTGGAGGTTCAGCCAGACTCTGAGAAAAAAGGCGTTTTTTCCAAGTGACGAGGGCTGGGCTTTTGTGTTTTTGTTTCAGGCTTTCTGGCAAGGCGTGGCTCTTCCAGCACACTGCACTTTGGGGTTGATAGGGCACAGAGTAGTGGAATTTAGTAGGATATATCCCATGGCCCCTAATTGCCGTTGATAAGGACTGACTTCTGCAGGAAATGCCCATTTTTTGGGGCCTGTGAGCATGAGCTAACATTGCAGAGCAGCACCAACAAAGAGACTCTCTTAAGAGACGTGTAGTTGTTTTTGGCAAGAACATTCACTTCCCTTATTTACTGGCTGTGCCGAGATGTTGGGTTGTATGTAACTAAAAAGGAATTTGGTTTTATTGCAGTGGATCTGCAGGTTTATTTATATTTTTTGTTTGATTCCTGTGTAGTTATTTTGGTTTTCAGGGATTCGGTTTGGCATGTGTCTCAAATCTTTATTTTTAGATTAAAGGACAAAATGGAAAACAGATGTTGCTACTCTAGTCGTGGCTTCTTCAGTCTTGCCCAGGATAAGCCAACACCTCTCTGCTGGCTGTCAGCTGGAGTGTCAGTGAGTGGAAAAGGGGAATAGCTGCTATTCTAGTGAGGGTCAGAATTCCAGTAATTTGTAAAAATTACAAGCTTGAAAAATCTCACAGTGCTTTTCTCACCTTCAGTGTGTCCGTTTCAGATGTGAGTGTTGTCACACAGGGCAGTAAGAGGCAGTAGCTGCAGACTAATGGCAACAAAGTTGGAGTAAAAGATTTTTGATTATTCAGAGCTTCCATGTCTGTCTTAAGTGAGTTGTGCAGCTACCAAAGGGAGTTTAGGTTATAATGGCATTTTCCCTTCAAAGAAAAAAGCACCATATTTAATTTTTTTTAAAAAGTATATCTTTTCATGCTCTGTCATCCTTTTGGTCCTTGTTCAGCTTGGTTACACCAGCCTTGTGTCACTTGCTGTCATTTCTTTGTCTTCCTTTGGCACACTTGTCTTTGCAATATTCCTGACACTTCCCTGCACACTGGTGGGACGTTGCATGTCTCAGACAGGTGCAAGTTGCATCTGTCCTTGGTTGTGTTTGCTGCACCCACGGTTAGAGCTAAACATAGCTGTGCCCCCGGCTGTTTGCTGACAGCTCAGACAAGTTATTGTGTCCTTGTTTGAGTGTTTGTCCATCCAGGTTTACCCTTTTTGGATTTTAAAGTACACTACAGCTTGTTTCAGTAAGTTGCCTTCTCTTTGTGTACCTTTCCATAATCATACTTGTAACTTCAGTTAGTTTAGGTCCAGCATTGTTTATTTGTTTTTAATAAAAATGCAAAACCCCACTGATGTTATTGGTTTTGTTTCACAATGTATCAATGTTATTCTTAGTCTGTACTTTAAAAGATAAACCTTGTTGTTTTGTTTTTTTTTTCCTCACCTGTAGGTTTCTAGCAACAAACTAGCAATGAAGGATCACCCTCTGACTGGAAGTCAGGTTAAAGTGGAGCAGTTATTTGAGGACTCTGGCAACAGAAGGAGCAGCACTCTTCAGTCTGCAGGAGTCGCTGGGTCAGAGAGGTCTCTTCCTTCACTGATGAAAGATAAAAGTTCAGAGAGCCTGAGCACTTCTAAAGTTAGTTCCTCAAAAGCACCTAAAGCCATTTCCCAAGCTCCAGAGCAAGCTGTCAAACAGTACAAACACCAGTTGTCTGCTTATGAACAGCAAGAGATATTTAATTTTCCTGAAATTTACTTTGTGGGTCCAGCTGCAAAAAAGAGACAAGGAGTAATCGGTGGTCCCAACAATGGAGGTTATGATGATGACCAAGGCAGCTACATTCACGTGCCCCATGACCATCTTGCTTACAGGTATGAAGTACTCAAAATCATTGGCAAGGGCAGTTTTGGACAAGTTGCTAAAGTCTATGATCACAAACTGCACCAACACTTGGCCTTAAAGATGGTTCGCAATGAGAAGCGGTTCCATCGCCAAGCGGCAGAGGAAATCCGGATCCTGGAGCACCTGAAGAAGCAGGATAAAACAGGCAGTATGAATGTTATCCACATGCTGGAAAGCTTCACCTTTCGGAACCATATCTGTATGACCTTTGAACTCTTGAGTATGAACCTGTATGAGCTGATTAAAAGGAATAAGTTTCAGGGCTTCAGTATCCAACTGGTACGCAAGTTTGCTCACTCTATACTGCAGTGTTTGGATGCCCTTTATAGGAACAAAATCATACACTGTGACTTGAAGCCAGAAAATATCCTCCTAAAACAGCAAGGGAGGAGTGGAATCAAGGTTATAGATTTTGGGTCCAGCTGTTTTGAGCACCAAAGAGTCTACACATATATTCAGTCTCGATTTTATCGAGCGCCAGAGGTAATTCTGGGAAGTCGCTATGGGATGCCCATAGATATGTGGAGTTTTGGCTGCATTCTGGTGGAGCTATTGACTGGATACCCTCTTTTTCCTGGAGAGGATGAGGGAGACCAACTAGCTTGTATGATGGAACTTCTCGGAATGCCACCTCAGAAGCTTTTGGATCAATCCAAGCGAGCCAAGAACTTCATCAACTCGAAGGGTCACCCTCGCTACTGCACGGTCACTACCCATGCAGATGGAAGGGTGACCCTCACCGGAACCCGCTCGCGCCGGGGGAAGCTCCGAGGTGCTCCAGGGAACAAAGACTGGGTGACAGCCCTGAAAGGCTGTGATGATCCCTTGTTCATAGAGTTCCTGAAGGAATGTCTCAGCTGGGATCCTTCCGCACGCATGACCCCGAGTCAAGCTTTAAGGCACCCTTGGATTTGTAAACGAACACCCAAACCCCCCAGCACTGACAAAACCTCCAACAAACGGATTTCGAGCTACACAAGTTCTTTCACAGGAATAGGGTCTAAGTTGCCTCCTGTGGTTGGAGTGGCCAACAAGTTGAGGGCAAATTTAACTTCTGACTCCCACGGCAGCATCCCGCTGTGTACTGTGCTCCCCAAGCTGGTCAGCTCGTAGCCAACTGCCTATTTCCACATCACCTTGTATTTTAATTGTCTGTTAATAACGTGTAAGGAGGTTGAATGCAGAGGTTTTAAATGGATTTACTTTTTATTAGAGGCTAAAGAAGTTCAGTCAACATGTACACATTAAAAGGGCTAACTTTTATCCAGTTGTTCCCCTCACAGCGTGGTGCATATTGTGTTACTGGGTAGGTCAGCTCAGCTGGTGAGTAAAATAAAGAGTTTGGCAGATGTGCTTTTTAATAATGCTCTTGTAGAAAACCAACTATCAGGATGGTTTAAGAGATTCTTTTGCTTAAGACAGCAAGGGATGTTGATTTAAAATACGTGTTTTCAGTTAATCCTCAACTGAACTCTTTTTTTATTCCAGGGGAGAATTTTTACATCTATTGTCAAAAGCACAAACTTATTAATGCAATGCATTGAGATCTTACAAACTGCTCATTTCTGTTAGAAGAATTTGATTTCTCTGCACTGCTTTTCTCTCACCAATCCTGGCTACATTTTAAAAAAATATCATGGGATGTAGACACCGAAGGAATTTGGTGTTAAAATTTTATCAGCTGAATATTTGTTTCCAAAGGAGTATAGAAGTGCCATGGAAAACAGGTCAGCTCTAAATAAAATTACTAACTTCTGTACAATTTCTATTTCCCTTAAAAGTCTATGGAAAGCTGACAGGGGGTTCAAGACCAGGACTGGTCCAGTTTGTACAGGGCTAATGAGTCCATTATTTGCTTTTTTGGAGCTCAGATTTAAAACCATTTCTGCCAGGTGTGTGTTTGTTTGTATTCCAGTGTTACTCCCAAAACAAAAATATTGAACTTAAAGAACTGTTTTATAAACATGTTAGAGATTCTGGTCATTTCAAAAATATCTTTTGTTTTTTTCTTTTTTGTATAGAGTGAATTCCATTAAATACATGGAGCTCTTTTAGTAAAAAGCAAACATGCCACCCCTGTCAGACAAAGCAAAGTTGTTGAGGCCCAGAACTGTCTTAACTGGAACCATGCTCTGGAATCTAAGCATGGTCTGGGAAATATCAGGAAAGACTGATGAGGTGCAGAAACTGGGGGATCCAAATCAAAACACGTTCTGGGAAAAACTGCTTTACTTCTAATCGTATTCCTTCAGGTCTTGGAGAGAGACCTGCCTATGTTTTCTCATTCTTGAAATAAATGAGCTTGTATTTCCTCTTCCTTTATCTTCCAAGAACATGAAAGGTGGTGCGACCTGTAGTGACAACAGCACAGCTTGTTGGGGTTGTTGCTTCTTGCAGCCACTTGGCCTGAGTCCATTTACTAAAACATCTGATCTCTTGCCAGGTGCCTGAACACAATTTAAAATACAATTTAGAGCTTTTATGAACAGAAGGTTTTAAATGTAATGAGTTTCTCTGTAGCAAGTTTTTAATGTTAAAACAAGGAGACTCTCAGTATGCAAACAAAGGACTTTTCAGGGTGATTTTTAAGATAAGGTGGCTGCATGTTCAGTGGGAGACCCTCCCTCTGAGGATGTGGGGCTGCCTTCTCTGCTCTGTTTAATTACAGCACGGGTGAAATGCTGGGTGGAGGCTTGTATAAAAAGCCAAAAAGACAGAGCCAAAGCTCTAGACTTTCCAAGACTGTTGTTTAAACTGAGACTCTCATGTCCTTGGCTTTTCTGAGTTCTTTTGTGTTACAAGTGTAAACTCAGTAAGCTTAGTAATACTATGAAATAGGAGTCTAGCCTTTATCCACACAGCTACAGGTAATACAGTGTGTATTGTGGTATGTTCATGGTTCACTTCATAGTAGTGCATGACTGGTATTTTTTTTTAATTTTGCTTAGTTGAGTGAAGTTTTGTTTGAATGGAGAACCAGGGAAGTGGATTTTTTGGGGAAAATGGCAGTAGATGCCATTGATTTTAGTAGAAGCTCTAATAGATGTGGCACATTTTTGGCAGCCAGAAACATTGTTCTTCCTCCTCTGCCCTTCACTCTATGCATTTTTTTACAAAATATACCTGGTGAGTGAAGAGAGAGGAACCTTTCAGGAGCAATAGTTTGTTGGGAAGGATGCATAGAAAAAAGCACTTTATATAGAGACTGTAAAGTGGAGCCTGGCAGAAGATAATGTTATGGGGAGAATTGTTTTGGTTGAAAGAGACCTTTAAGATCATCAAGTCCAACTATGGTGCTGTGCTAGGAGCTGTACAAACAGGTCTTCTCTTAGGAACACAGAGTAGTACCTTGGTTCTAAACCATTTTCATCTCTAAAATGCCAAATGTACAATAATCATTCTCCTGTGACTTCTGGGAACAGGTTACTCTGAGCTAACTTCTAGTCTTAACAGCCTCTTGTGTACACACAGTAATCTCACTTAAGGCTGGTGCTGTAAAAGCGCAGATAAAGTAATTAGCTGGCAAGAATATTGCTTTTTATCTAGAAAATGTGTTCAGCATGACCTGACTGCACAAGGTGCCCATTATGAGTAGCAGATATTTAAGACTGGATCTTGCTTATTTGGGACTACTATATTTTAAAATCTAGTGCATAATTAACTATCTTGCTACTTTGGGGCTCTTACCTCTCTAGCCATAGGAGGTGAGAAGGAAAGGGGAGCAGCCTCAGAAGACCTGTGCTGTATTGCAGAGGACTTCTTCATAACCCAGGAATACAGCTGAGAATATATTGGTCTTGTTTCCAATTACCAAGCCCATTTTCTCTATAAAATGTTTGCTTTCAGTGAATGGTGTGACCCAGTATTCCCAAACTGGGAAAGCCCTTCAGGTGATCTAATAAATCTCATATCTGGGAGAGAGCTGAGGAATTGTCCCTGCAGACCCTTGACTTGTTGAGTTCCTTGTGAGTGAGCATGGGAGCTGGACACGGGCTGTGTCACGGGGCAGTGTCATTGAGAGGCTGGTCAGGGTCACAGCTAAACACTACTGAGGTCTGAAATCCCCTGAAGTCTTTTGTTTTCATTAGTCATGATGCTGGTTAGAATTTTAACAGTAGTCTAAACTTGTCCAAATAGATGAGCAGGAGCAGTTTTTATTTGTGTGGTAACTCTTGGCTTTGCCAGTTTGTTGATCTGTCCCTCGCCTGCTGCTTCAGCCTGCTCTGCTGGGAAGTTAGCACAGAACAAAAGCAACTATTTGGGTTCACAGCAAAACAGACATTGCATTTATAAACATCACCCAGACTTGTTTCAAAATGTTCCTTATAACGTTCCCTCTGTTTTGCTACACTGTTGGTCTCTGTGTTGTAAATAACATGCTCTGTTTATTGTCCGCATTTTTAGCTGTTTGGTTTAGCAGTGTTGTTCTATGACAAGGCATGAGCATCACCTCTGGCTTTTACTCTCGGGTCCAAATCTTGTCTGCCTGTACAAGCTGCAAGGAGAAACTTGAAGGATTCATCTTCCCTGCAGAAGATGGTGCCACAGCCAGGCACCCACCCAGGCTGCCTACAGCCCTGGACAGGTTGGATCTCACTAACAGCAGCTGTCGAATGTGAAGCTGGTTTCACAACAGTGACCTGATTTCAGGATCTGTGTACCACAGGTACTCTTCACTAGAGGTTATATCCTTCCCACCCAGCTGGAACAGGAACTCGAGCTGTCCAGTGACCTAAGAATTCAGAACAGATTTAACTGGAAAGCTTTAAGGTGACTTTTGTGGAAGAGCAGGTGTGTTGCTCCATCTGAAGTTGTTTACAATCCTTGTGACCTGTTAGGACTTTCATGCAGCTGAAAACTTTTAAAGCAGCAATTTATCAGTAGAGGTTCTTTGCAATGGTCATCCTCTTTAAAACTACCTCTGAAATAAACCTAGGGTCCTTTTTAAAGGGATATTCACTGCAGATTACAGCTCTTCTTGTTGGTTTTTTTTCCACATTTAATACTAATGGCTGTTTTGGCTGTGGAACCTGTACATGATGATCTCAGCAATGTCTTACTAATCCTGGCCATACAAGCAAAAGGCTGATTCTGCACCCAGAGATCTCTGCTCGAATGATTGATACAAATCCCCTGCCTGCCCAAGTTTAATTCTGCTGTGGAAGTTGAGAGCCAAAATAATACGGAAAGATCTGTGGTACTTCTCTGCAGTCCCCAGCTGGGTGTCAAAACAAACTCTGCTGGAAGACTTGATTGACAAAACCTGCAGGTTTTGCTTATGTTGAGCACTGGGAGCTGTGGGTACCTGGCAGTTATGAAAACTGGCCATCATGTTTTTATACTTATTACTTGTCACAGATAGTATTTGGGTTTTTTAAAATGATTATAAATTGTATAAGGCTTTGGGGAAATGTATCCACTTAACACTTCCTATAAAAGAGCCCTTAGGTGTTCTAAAACTCCACTGATACCTTAGAGTTCTTTAACTCCCACTGAAACATGTCAAATGCTGGGATCATCAGAGCAGTCTTGGGTAGGTGAACATTGTCCCTGCACTCAGAGGCAGTGACTTTAATCCAAATTCAGTTCTTGCAGACAGGCTAACTCAGTAAGTCTGTTTTGCTAGAAGAATAACCCATGTTCCCTCCACATAGTGCTGTGCCTTATTATTTTACCAGCCTACATCTGTCTTGGTGCAATCAAATTACTATTCAGGGTTTCTTATACATTGCAGATGTTCATACTAAATGTCAATGTCTAAAGAATTTACAGACTAGCCTTTTTGTTATAAATATTGTGATGAGGTGTAATATGGTGGAGAATGTAGAAAACATTTAAGGTGCATGTGAATCTAACTCTGTGAAGGAACACTTTGGAGATGAGTCAGTCTCAAACTATGTATCTAAATGTAATGAACAGATATTTCCTAAAGTTGTATTTCGGTTCCTTTTTAAAAGAAAATAAATACATTAATTTTCTTTAGCAGCAGGCTGTGCAAATTCCTAGAAAATACTTGCTTTTTTTTTTTTTTTAAAAAAAAGGTATTTATTCCAGATGCTGTAACTTGTGTTGCCAGACACTGCCCTCTGTGGCATCTCACCAGAGATCAGTAGAAAATTTGCAGACTCTGTGTGAACAGATGATTTTGGGGTGTCTGTGCTACATGTGGTGAATGCTCTGATCTGACAAATGTTCTTCTTGTTAATGATGCTGTAATTAGAATGGATCAAAGTCTGACCATGACATTCTTCAGTTGTCACTTTCTTACCCAACCCACTAGAGATCTTTTTAAAGCTCAGAATCCTGCTTATCCCTAGGCTGGAAGGAGAAATCCAGTAATAGCCACTTAAGGAAGATTTGCTTTTATTAGAAACCTATAAATGGATAACCTATTGTACACAAGTGGATATTGGAATAGTTGGAAGATGAAATCATGCTGCAATAAAAAGGTCTCTAGCAATGACCTGTGTGATTAAACGATGTGTGTTACATGCAGAAGGTTTGCAGGCAGCACTGGGTGGGGTTTTTTTCCTGGTTTTAATACGGATGAATAGCAAATGTTTCATTAAGAAAAGTTTACAATCTGAAAACAGTTGCAAAATATGCACATGCAAACATTTAAGGGCTCTCTGAGTGTCCTTGTTTATAGTCCATATATGTTCATGTAGGTCTCCAGCCCACAGCACTGAGCCTGCTCCGTCTGTCACAGCTACTGATTTTCATGGGA